AGCGCAGACAATACTTCTCGGTGTGCGGGGTGACCCTGGGGGTTGTGTTTGTGTGGGTTTGGTGGTTCCCCCCCCTCCTCCCCGTTTTTATCTCCTTTTCGCGTAACTAACAGCGTTTGGCCCTTTTACATTGCAAACTCGGCATTTTAAGAGCCCGTCTCTTGCCCCAACCTGAGAAATCCTCTGGTTTTTTTTGGTCAATGTTTAATAACTTTGCTCGGAGCAGAGGATTTATTCGACAGATCATGAGTAAGGAATTTCCTTTATGAAGAGCGAGGGAGGTGGGGTAAGGGGCAGCGTTTGTCTGACGGTGTTTTAACCCCGGTTTAAGCAGTTTGGTGGGTGATCGAGTTGCCTCTTTCTGCTGCGTCTGCCCAGGTTTGCAGGAAAACACAAGGTTTAACGCTGAAAGTTCTTGTAGGCCACACAGCGCTCGAACAATGGCCGTGCTGCAATCCCCAGCCCAACTTTCCAAAAAGAAACCCACCCCCCCCAAACTCTCTCTCCTAGTTCACGACTGAGCTTTTTGAAACGCGCGTCTGGCGCTGACTGGGTTTTTGGGTCTTGTCTGGGATTTTTAGGGGAATATTGGATCAGAGCTGCGAAGCTCTGAATGCGGAGCCGCACTCGGTGCGGATTAGAGCTGCCTTATTCAGCGTCCTCGCTGCTTAGGCTGTAAAACTTGCTTGGAGACGTACCTGAAGTTTTTGTTGCTTGTGGAACATCCCCTAAGCTGAAGTATTTTGCTTGTAATGATAGCACAGAGCAGTTTATTTACATGCTGTGTTTTTATCAAGGCAAAAGGAAAATTGTCCGCTCTGAGGGCGTTGTGGCAGCGTGGAACCCTTTGTTTGTAAATACCTAACTCTTCCAGGGAAACCGTTTACCTGGGAAAAGTTAATTGTGGATTTTTTACTGGGAGTTTGGGAATGACCGGGGTCCTAGCAGCCATTAGCAGCGGTGAGGCCGGCAGCTGCTGCTCAGCTGGTGAACGTGCCTTGTGTAGGTGACCACACATTTCAGATGCTCGCTGTGCTTTGAATGACAGGATTCAGCTGGCCGCTACGTTGAAGGCGGCATTTCTATAAAAACACGTCTTGGAAGTAAACTTGAACTACCCAGAATGCTCTTTTCCCCTTTGCTCCCTTTCAAAATGTCGCCTTTGCCAAGTTTTTCCTCTCGTGTTTGGAGCTGCCTCGGCTGCATCAGATGCAAGGTAAAGCATCTGGGAGCGGGAGGCACTCGTGCGGTTCTTCGTAGTACCTTGACTGAGATTGTCTGGAGCCTCAAAACCCCCCTGGTTTTGGAGTAGCTCAATTACTAACAAGCTGTGTAAAGTAGAAATGAGTTTGTGCCTGTGAACAGAGGGACCTTGCAGCCCCGCTCCCTTTTGAGGGAGGAAAGTAACAGGGTGCCTGTGCAGGCTTCCCCTCCCAACTTGTTACCTTGTGGTAATTCCTGGACACATTTTGTGGATTCATTGTATCTTCCTGTTTTTTTTTTTGTTTGTTTTGTTTTTTAAAGAGTGTCCACAGAACTTGTAACCTTCGTTCACAGAGGCTGCTCAGATTTCCTTGTCGGGAATTAAGACACCCCAACGTGGTGATGTGTGAATTTCTTACCAGTAATTTTTTTTTTTTTTCTTCTTATTGCTTAGAGGAGCTTTAGTGCTTCATTTCATGGCGTTGAATGATTCTGATAATGTTTATTAAAGGGAAACTGCCATTAAATTGTAGTATCATATTCTTAAAAAAATCAGTGAAGGTTTAGTTATATTGGGTGTTGTCACAGTGTTTTGTGAAGTATTTGGGGCAGGTAGCGATTTCAAGACTTTTTGAAAGACGGAGGAGTTAGTTCTGTTGAATGTTACTGGTATTTATGTTGTGAAAGTTCTTGAATGTATAAAAAGCCTTGCAGAGTTGCTTGTTTACATGGCCAGGGAGGCCATGCGTGTGTGTCAACAAATACAGGTTGTAGGTGCAATTAACAAAAATCTTCTCTCTGCAGTTCGTACAGTCATTTTCTTCCAAGTATTAACGCTCTTCTCAATTAGTGGGACAAACTGGAGTAAGTTTGATCAAAGGTAGGATTTGGATTTTTTGTGTCGGCTTTCTTCGCTGTTAGAAAATTGCTCTTGGGAGTTGCTTGTAGCAGTTGTCTGTTTTTCAAAACTACTATGATGAGCAGAGAGGAAACAGAGCCGCCTTTCAGGCTGTCGGAGCCGCTGTCAGGAGCGGGGCCAAGGTTTGCAGCCACCGAGCTACAAGAGTAGCAGCGTTCTCGTGCTGGTATGCAGCCTTGGTGGGAGTCCATAGGGGCTGAGCTCTTCCCCCTGCCCAGTTCCATCCTTGTAACTTTGCTGTGGTATTTGTAGGGTTGTATTCAGGTAACTGAAATCATAAACTAGCGATCTTTTAAAAAAATAATAATAATCCTGACTATACCATGCTTTAAAAACAGATTTGATTTCACTGTGCTTTGGCTGAGTGTTACGTATGGAGTAAATCACTTTTCTGTTCACACGTGTGATGTCTTTATTGCTCTCTGGATCAGCTGATAATGTTGTCTTAAACAAAATAACAAACTGGTCTGCTATCGAAGTACATGGGGGGACAGTAAATTGGTGAGTTGCTGTTAGCCCCCTCTGCCCACCTGCACGCAGATGGGTTTGGGTGTATGCAAAGCATTTGGGGTATTTTCAGTGTTGGACGGTTTCTGCGACTTGTCCAGCTTTCCCCTGGTGCCGTCGACAGCGGGCCCAGGGCTGCTGGCTGCTCTGGCTCTGGAAGGTTCTGCCGCGATCCTGGGCACCAAGACGTTAGCTGCTCGTTCTCCGGGGAATCTCGCACAGAACATGCTGGTGTGCTTTACCATCTCTTGACCAAAGCCATCTTCTGGGTTGTCAGAAAGAGTGCACATGGTGTTTGGGATTTAGTTAGCTGTATAAGCAGAAATCCAGTCTTTTAAGTTTGCATTTGGAAAAAACCCCAACTGTGGCCTTTATGTTTGCATGACTGAGTGAGCGCATCGTGCCACAGTGGGACTCGTGTGTTGGCTGAAGATCTGCCTCGCGATTCGTCAGGTGTAGCCACGCGCGGCAGGCACTGAGGCTGTGATTTGCGTTCCACGGGTGGCTTTGGGGGCTTTTTTTCTGGCACTGTTCGGTGGCAGCACTCCAGTCGGTGTTCAGTCCATCGCATAAATTGCCGTTCTGATTTCGGTGTAATGGGCACCGTACGTGAATCTCGCGTATACTGATAACACTTAGCAGCACAAGATGTGTGATTTTTGGCTAGCGGCTGTTTTTGTATGGTATTTTAGTTGCTAGGTTAATGGAGAAAATGACTATGTTAAAAGGAGTCAGATCTGGCATCGTGATGTTTCCCTGCCAGTCACAAGATGGGTGTGTGTTATTGAATATGTAAAGCTGAAGCTGTGTAAGGATTTCAAGTTTTCTTTGCCTTCTCTCTTTCTCGCCATCTCTCCCCTTCCCCTCGCCCCCCGTAGGTGCTGGTGGAATGAGCGTTGCGTGTGTTTTGAAGAGAAAAGCAGTACTCTGGCAGGACTCGTTCAGCCCCCACCTGAAACAGCACGCTCAAGAAACAGCTAATCCCACCATGCCTGTTGTATTGACATCTGGAACAGGGTCCCAGGCTCAGCCACAGCCCGCTGCAAATCAGGCGCTTGCAGCAGGGACGCACTCCAGCCCTGTTCCCGGATCCATAGGAGTCGCAGGCCGCTCCCAGGACGACGCCATGGTGGATTACTTCTTCCAGAGGCAGCATGGTGAGCAGCTTGGGGGAGGAGGAAGTGGTGGAGGCGGCTATAATAACAGCAAACATCGCTGGCCTACTGGGGATAACATTCATGCAGAACATCAGGTAAAAAACCAAAGTTCAATGTTTCCAAACTCCACACGTGAACGCATCGGGCTTGTGATAGATGCTTTTAATGACACTTTTTAAAGCTGAAGCTGGTTGTTGTGCGGTTGGAGTGGCAACAGTTGTGCTTTTTGTTTTCTCTTTTCAGGGTTGCGGAGCCTTGCTAGCTATAAGCTGAAACATTGCTGCTCTTGAGGGTGTTGAAATCCCAGTCCGCTCTCTGTGACAGTCAAATGCATGTTTGCAAAATTTGTCATTCCCTTTATTGATTGGGGGGGGGGAGAGGGAATGTGTGAACCAGTGACTGCTGCTGCTTTTCAGATCTGTTGCTGTAGTTAAATAATTCTTATGTAATGGTATTACAAAACTGCCAGTGCATGTAGGTTGAGCTTTTACCATTTCCAATATTGAAAAACACACTTCTGGAAGTTGCTGGTAGTGTATTTTCCTGGGTTTCTCTGCTTGTTTGTTTTGGGGTTTTGGGTTTGGGGTTTTTTTGGTTATAATTGAGAGGGGAAGGAGCTATTAATGTGCTTAGCTGCAATGAGAACAGCCTTACGAATGTCGTGAAACACAGCTAACTTCTTACAGTGACTTAACGGTTTTGAAAGGGTAGTGGGCCAAAACGTGTCTGGGTAGTAGTGTTTACTACAAGTCTTCTCAGTAGCTGCATTGTCAGATGCGCTGCGACTTAAATGAGCGTGTGACTCACTCTAGCTTGCTGTCTGTGACCTGTAACTCACTCCTCGAAGAAGATGTGCTTCCTCTGCAAAGGGAGCAGAACTTAAGTGTAAGCACATTTTAAAACCGGATGATTCCCACAAATATTGTCAGAGCAGCAGACACAAAGCTTTTGCAACCTTTATGAATGTCTCCTGCCTCTAGTTTTTGAAATAAAAGCGAACAAGCCCTTGCTCCTCTGCTGTGCCTCCCCAGGGGATGTGTTGCCATCCGGACCATTTAAAAGCAAACATTGCAGTGAATTTTGCAACCTCACTGAAGTCAGTGTATACATCAACAGAGAAGTAAACCCAGGTGCCCTGTTAACTTCTTCTGGAAGAAAATTTGCATAAAATACTGCAATATGAACTAAGCAGCTGGAAGAATGTGGTAGTTATTCCCTTATGTGGAAACATAGCATTTAGTTATCACTTTGAAGGCAATAACTGCATTGAAGGGAGATGTAATTTTTCTGTTAACTATCCAAGTTTTCAGTCGCTAAATGTAAAACTTGTTTCAAGAGACATCGATGGAACAGATCTTAATGTGCTTTAGGCTGTGTAAGAAACAGTAAGCAAACAGTTTTTCCTCAAACAAAGGAGTCCTGCCTGTTGCAGAGACTTGCCCTGGTGTCGGTGGATGCGTTGCTCTTCGTCAGCTTCGTTTTCTTCAGTAACTTCTTGGTTGAAATGACAGTAATAAATGCACCACTTAATGAAAGAAAAACTCATTAGCTTGTACAAGTTTAAATGAACTTTTGAAAAATAACGTGTGTATTCTTTGGAGGCAGAGCGCTTCTGAGAAGGTTGTGTGGACAAAATGTACCCGCAGGAGTAAGCTCACAAGGCTGCGTGTGACGCTTTCTCTGTTTTTCCCCCATGTGTTCTGTGATCTGAAGCTCAGGAAATACCCACCATAGTACAATTAACGTTGGAACCTTACCTGTTCTACTGCCTGGTGGTTTTTACATTGACTGTAAGGTATTTGTCAGACAGTCCTGGTGTTTTGCATTCAGCAGACATCTTTAAACCAATCTTTGTGTTTAATTTCTTCAAAGTCAAGCCTGAGATGGGGTAGCAACCCTTTTCTTGAGTGTCTTACTCGATACAGTATACTCCAGTGATTGCTGGGCAGTTTCATCTCTGTGTTTATTGCTTCAGGCTTTCCTGAGTGCCGCTTTTTCCATGGGTCTCTGTTTGCCTCGGGGTTTTACTCATGGGAAGCGCAATGCAGGATATATGTAATCCTGATACTGCCATTCCTTTTGACTTTTTGGCCATCTCTGCATCTGCTTCTTAAATTATAAATTCCTTGGAGGAAAGAACTAGTCTTATGTATACAGAATGATTTAATTCAGTTTGGGCTTAACCGGGGTAGGGTTGAATTTGTCCAGCAAGAACAGAAATGGAAGGAAGTACTGGGACGTGCAGAGAGGTGGGGAATCGTTATGGATGTCTGCTAAGTCTCAGTTTCTTATGGATACACTTGTATCACTGGAGTTATGATTTTAAACTTTGAAAGTTAGTGCAGTGAGGTCCCTTGCCTTGTTGCCTTGAAGACTGGTTAGGAAACTCAGTAGCTAAAAGATAATGGAAAGTCAGAAAAAATAATTATAGGGTAATATAGGTTAATGGCTGCCTAGAGCTTGGGAGGTCGTGATTAAAGGGAGAGGGATTTTAAAAATTGTTGAATCCCAGTTTCTTCGTTGTTACATAGGTAGACAGACATCTGTCTCTGTTGGTGATAATACTCCAGTGATTTTTACCAAATGATAGCATTTCATCAGGAGTTGTCAAGTAGCTATGAGTGCTGTGAGTCAGAACTTACTTGTGGGATCCTCACTTTTCATTTTTTAACGTGCTGGCAGTTCCCCCTTGTTTGTATTTTGACCAGCAGCTCTGAGAATTGAACTGTCAGTGGTTTTAATAGGGATGACTTTAAAAAAGTTTCTCTGCTCCATGGGAAATAGGTAGTGTCCTCTTGTTGTGAACAGCAGGAAAGTGCTGGCTCTTTTTGTGCTTTACCTGTAAACTTTCTTCTCCCTTTGTATTTTTCCCTTTTCCTCCAGAAGGCGGGGCAGAGGGCAAGCTTTTATATAAAATTAAGCAATTACGCAAAATGACAGCAGCATCTTTAGTTATCAAAGATAAGCTACCCACACAAATAGCATATATTATACATTCCTTTTTGTTCTTGCAGACACTGAAGTAATGGTGAAATTGGACTTTCTTTTTCGAGATTGCAATCTCTGAACTCCTAAGCATATTTCAGTTGTCTGCAACTATAAATGCTGAATCGCCAAACTTTACAGGGAAGACACTTCTGTCGGCCAAGTCTTGACTGCAAAACATAGTCTTCTCTTTTCATCCACAAAAGGCAGCAAGATGAGGTTGAGTGAGGTTGAGTGTCAATGTCCACCAGTAATTCTGAGATTAAAACTGAAGAGGTTTAGGCTGTCGTTCATCTGTGATGCCCGATTCCTCTCCAGGCTGGTTGGGCAATGTTACAAATAGCTACACAGGGGTGTTTGTATGCTGTTTGTCCTGCAAAAAACGGGTAGAGATCAGAACCTCACTTCAGGTAAGTGAGTGAAGAGGTGCGAGATGACTGCTGGTGAGTCATGGCCTAGGTTGGATTTGTCTTGGTTGTGAAAGGTTGTGTATATCATTGCAAATCAAAACAGCCATCTCTTACTCCTGAGGGGAATGAAAGACAGTCAAGATACTCAGCTGGGGCAACTTATCAACACTGAGCAGGTTTTTAGGGCGATTGACTGGGTTACCTTGGATGGGGTCTCCTGTGGCTTGTGCATGCACGTATGTTCTTGAGCTGGGGCGAAGCGAGGGTTTCTCTGTGGTGGTCCCTGCTGAGTTACAGTGAATGGATACACTTAGACCGTCTGAATTGCAGTTGGGGTAATATGGGAGTTGCTTCGTAGAAGCAAATGATTTTAGGGATTTACTTTCTTTGAGAGCATGTTTAATTAATAATTGGAGACAATAGAACTCTGCAGGGATCATCTTGTTGAATGTGGGGAATTTTTCACATGTAGTTGGTGAAGAATAGTGAGGGCAGCAGGGCTGGGACTGGGTTTTCTGCTCAGTTTTGCCTTTTGGCAGTGTGACCGTGCAACTTCTTAACTGGGAACTTACAATCAGGCGGAGACAGAAGGTAATTCTCCCGGCAGCTGCCCTTCCAGAGCACTGCTACTGAAATTGCGCTGCTTGGTGCTGTGAAAGTGTCTGGATTTGACGCTGTGTGACAATGTTTGGTGCCTGTTGGCAGGCACCATGACCAGAGTTTGCCATGAAGTCGTGGCAAGGAGCTCTAAAAAAATCCTGGAAGCTAAGGAAGCAGAAGCCCTAGCATTCGTTCTCCCAAAGCGAGATCGTGTTTACGTGACAGTTAACTGTTCAGGACCGAGATTTCCTGGTCTGCCTGTGGAAAGCACCGAGAGTCTGAGGGCTGCTGTGGCCCAGACGATGTGGCTTGTTGTCTGGGCTAGGGTTGGTGACATGGGGCGAGTCCTGAATCACGTACACCAAGTGACAGAACACATAGCTCTGTTCTTGAAGAACGTTTTCTGACGTATGTTTCGTTAAATCTGCTGAATTTTCATGAATGCTTCCTCGTATCACAGTGAACTGGTTGGGGCTTTTCTTACCTTGACACTGAAATGGCTGGGCTAACTTGATACCCAGAGAATTTCGAACGTAATACCGTGCTGAAATGAAATGTCTAGTCTAGCTGATTTTTTCTGCAGAGATTTCTCTGTAGTAGAGGGGTATCTTGGGGGAGGGAAATCGGAACATTTGGTTTAGTTTTCTGCTTTACGTTGTCCTTTGAAAATCCCTCCTGAGATAGAAGGAGCATGACTAGATTGGCTAAGTTGGGTATTGTAGATCCCCACTCTTGTATAGGGGAGAAAAACCACCCTGAAATCTTCAGAAAGTCTGTTTAAGAGTCTGCTTCCTCTGAATCCATGTAAAGTTGGGTATTGTAGATCCCCACTCTTCTATAGGGGAGAAGAACCACCCTGAAATCTTCAGAAAGTCAGTTTAAGAGTCTGCTTCCTCTGAATCCATGGGTTTCTCTGTCCCTGACAGGCAGTTGCAAGGTACCTGGCTCTGGGTGGGATTGCACAAGGGACCCGATGTGCTGGCTTGGGGATTTCTCCGTGGTGTATCGTCGTTGTGGTCTGCTGCCTGGCTGGGGTGCTTGCTCAGGAAGAGCAAAGAGATTTTCACACTGTTGAATTTGCAAATTTCAATGCTTGAAGA